TGAAATATTCATGAAATATAACACACACCCTATTAGCTTCACGGCTTATACAATCGAATAAATCACATAATATTTCTCTCACATACACACTTGACTTAAAACTCAAAAAGTACCCACCAATATCTTAAACCTAACAGATTTTAATTAATTTTCAACACTTTTAAAACTTCGAATCGTATTTTAACATTATGGATCATTTTATTTACGACCTCTACCTCATTTCGGCCTTCGAATGTCCTTGCCCTATTACATTTTTCTAACGCCGGCTAAACTATCGACGTGTTGACAGGCAGGTTATCGAACCCATGTTGGCTCGAGCATGTCGTTTTTTCGAAGATGGGTCCCATATAAACGCGGCCAGAAGTATTTTCAATACTAAAAATATATATAAAATTGATTGACGTATTCAGTTGTTTTTAGTCATTTTCTGTTTCACCGGCAATGACTACTACTTTTGATTTTCAAATGACACAGTCGGTATTTTTTTACTTTATTCGATAGAAAATGACACTTTGAATAGAATGGCATATCATATGGCAACTTTTGACATTTTCGCTTAAAAAATCGTATTTTAAATTTCAATCTAGAATGTCATAGCTGTGGTAAAAGCACTAATTTTAATCAAGATGTCTTGGAAAAATAGATTTTATCAGTTACAAGATCATATTTTTAATCATATCTCAGTTTTTTCAAATGGAACGAGGGTGGTTAATCGGCATATTTAGAAAAATCATTTTTTTAAGAATAATTTTGTTTGTTAAATACTAAGAAGCAGGTTATAGCCGCTGCGATTTAAAAATCGCCATGGCAGTTTCAATTGCGATTGAAGAATCCGAGTTTTACTCATCTCTAGTTGAAACCATAAGATATGTACGATCGCTCATTTTCTTTTTTAGGAAGCAAAAAAATTGCATTAAAATATATTACAGAGAAGAAAGTCAAACAACAAGCTTTAAGAAAAGACGCAAACAATTAAAAATGAAATGAAACAAATGGGTTAACATCAACTATCGCGCACAAAAACATACCGGAAGAATAAAAACCGAGGAAGAAAAAACAACAAAAATATATATAGCATAATATAAAGGAGGCAGAATTGCTGCGTTTCTTTTGCTCATTTTGTCGCCCCGGTATTAAAAATATGTCGACCCGCCCGCGGAGGGCAGCGTTTCAGCCGCCGCCCCCGTCGAGATAAAAGGATTATGCCCCCGGGGGTGGGACGATTATTACTGGACGTGGACGGCGCAAAGGAATAAAAGCGGTCCTTTCGGGTTTCGGCATTCGGTCTGGAATTCGGTTATTTATTTTTTATAGTGCGGTTCAATTGTGTTGTTAGCATTTTTTTTATTTAATTATAAAATAGAAACATCATAGAAAGCGAGAAATTCTAGAGAATAATTTTAGAAATTTTTATCTATACTAATATACAGGGTGTTTCAAAACAAATGCGAAAAACTTCAGAGGGTGATTCCTTGTTCAAAATAAAGGGTAGTTTGCTTCATAAACGTTTGGTCAAAAGTCAACCATTAGGGAGATATTGTACAAAGACATGTAGAACAAAGACATGTTGGTACAAAGATGGCGGAAAAATAATGTTTTTATTTTTTATCTTGAAAACGAAAAGAGATCGACTAATAAAATTTTATGGAAGCATTACTGTTATGAAAACACACTTTCTGGTAATTTTTTCACTTTTTTAAAATGAGTGAAGGGGTTGAAATAAACTACCCCTATCATTCTTGTTAACGAAATTTAAAGAAAAATATTATCAAATACATGCAAAAAAATTAATTTGGATAGTTTAGTTTGTTTAGAAACTTTTTTATCTCTTGTATTTTTTTGATAAAACTCACCGATTTGAAATTAAAAAATAAAATGTAAAGCATTACATGTCAGGACAAAAAATATTTTCTGATAAAGAATCTAGTGGGCTGCTGTAATTTTTTTAGGAAAAAATCTAGTCGGCCGCTGTTACTTTTTAGGATGTTCCTAATATTTTTTCATTCGACATTACTCTACTGCAATACGTTATTATCTAGATGATTATTATTATCGTTATTATCACTAGATTCTTAATCTAAAAATGTTTTTTGTCCTGACATGTAATGCTTTACATTTTATTTTTTAATTTCAAATCGGTGAGTTTTATCAAAAAAATACAAGAGATAAAAAAGTTTCTAAACAAACTAAACTATCCAAATTAATTTTTTTGCATGTATTTGATAATATTTTTCTTTAAATTTCGTTAACAAGAATGATAGGGGTAGTTTATTTCAACCCCTTCCACTCATTTTAAAAAAGTAAAAAAATTACCTGAAAGTGTGTTTTCATAACAGTAATGCTTCCATAAAATTTCATTAGTCTATCTCTTTTCGTTTTTTGAAGATAAAAAATAAAAACATTATTTTTCCGCCATCTTTGTACCGCGATATCTCCCTAATGGTTGACTTTTGACCCAACGTTTATAAAGCAAACTACCCTTTATTTTGAACAAGGAATCACCCCCTAAAGTTTTTCGCATTTGTTTTGGAACACCCTGTATAAAATCCTTAAGTGACTGACATACTGATTAATCACGATCCTGCTCAAACCACTCAACCTAAGAAGCTCAATTTTGGCATACAGGTTGATTCTAGGGTATAGAGGTTCGATAAGAAGGGATTTGTCGAAATTCCAATTCCAAGAGGGTGAAACCACCCCTCAAATATTACAATATTTTTTATTTTAAAAACGGCCAAGTTTCCGAAAAAACGCTTAAACACGTGTATTTTATTTTGTTTTTTTACATATTTTAAGATTTTTAAAAATGTATACAGGGTGTCTCGAAAAATCTGGTTATTGATTAATCACGATCCTGCTTAAAGCGCTTGACGTAAAAAGCTGATTTTTGGAAAACAGATTGACTTTAGAGTGTAGAGGGATTTTTCGAAACTCGAATTCTAAGGGGGTGAAACGGAAAAGGGGGTGAAATTTTTTATTTAAAAACCGGTAAGTTTCGGAAAAACTCTTAAATACGTATATTTTATTTTGTTGTTTTACATATTTTAAGATTTTTTATAAATTTATACAGGGTGTTTCATAAAATATGACCATTGAGTAATCACGATTCTGCTTGAACTGCTTGACGTTTAAAGCTGATTTTTGGCAAACGGATGGACTGTGGGGTGTAGAGGTTCGATAAGGAGGGGTTTCTCGAATCTCAAATTCCAAGAGGGCGAAAACGCCCCTCAAATATTACAATATTTGTTATTTAAAAAACGGTTAGTCTTTCGGGAAAACGCTTGGACAAGCATAATTTATTTGTTTTTTTTACATATTTTAAAAAAAAATTGAATCTTTCTCCTCAGGCAGTATGTGAAAATATTTACAAACAAAAGGTTGCACGATTGCTTAAAATTGTCAAGCATCACAAACTGATGGATATGTTTTTTTTCAATTTTGTAAATGGGAAAAAAGTACCTATATTGGTTTTTACTTCAACATGAATTAAAATCATAATTTCAAAAAATAGAAAGTTCTAGTAATTAAAGTGGTTTGTGACATCTAATACGAATAACAGAAAACAATTTTTGTAAATTTGTATTATATTTTCAAATGCATAAGTAAATTAAAATACTGTAAAATAAATAGCTTCCGTTATTCAACACTATGTCATGTAACAAAATTTGATCATAAGTTTTCTAATATCTTTACGAAGTCCTCAGATGTTCGATATCTTTGAGTCTTTATAAAATACGTATGTATAAAATATACGTCTTTGGTATATTGCATATCTGCGAATTCAAATTGCTTTCAGAATATTATTATTAGGTTTCCTATAAATATGGTAATCCTGTTGTTGGCTATCATGTCGACGTAAACATATTTATATTAAACAAGTAATGTAGAAACGTGCTATTTTTAGTAAAATATTTGGATACCTATATAAATATCTTGAAAATGTAATCTTGGAAAATTTCATTAAAATAATCAAACTGATTTAATTTTACATATATCCAAAACACACTCTACAACGCCCTACACACTTTGTCGCCCAATTTTGTCGCATTTCGGTTTATTTCCAGTTATCTTTACCTACCTCGTTTTGTCTCGACCTACTTTTGATTCTATAAAACGCCTTAAAACTACTCGTGAAATTGCGGAGAAAGGCGTGGGAGTATGTTTTATCTGGCGTTTCCTGTTGCATTGTTCAATTTCGTTTCATTTCGAGCTATTTCCAAAATGGGACGGTATCTGTACCCGAGGCAAAGGACTTTTTTCATAAATCTCTGTGAAATAAGTAAACCTAGACGTTTCTAAAATAACTGTTTTTACGATGATATTTCGTTTGATTGGGAAAATTATTGATTCACCCAATGCCAACAAAAGTATGGTCCACGGACATTTTTAAAAGCATTTTTTTTGTTCTTTTGCTGTTCTGTTTTTTTAACGATGCTTTTATTAGCACCCAGTATGGTTTGATATAAATCCATTCAACTAGTATTTATTATGCAGGGATTTAGACAATTAAAAATAGAAAAACAAAACCAAATTCGTAAACTAAGCTTTGCTATAAACTACAGTATATAAATATTTTACCATAATAGAAATATGAACCGTACCGAAATATGACCGTAAAAGGAATATGAAATAATTAGACGATTTTTTACATAGTTTTGTGTATATTTTCTTCATGAGGTGCAATACCGTGGATTATAAGCCGATAAATGGTAGACCGCTACTTAATCACTGTTGTCCTATAGTTTTAGGATGAACACGGGCTTATATTTGAGTTTACTTCTGAGAATATTTCCAGAAATATTTTGCGAAATGTTTCACGAAATATTTCCAGAAATTTTTCGTAACATTTCGGTGATTGTGTAGAAGGCTGTTTAAAAGGGACATCTTTTTTTTTGAAGAATTAAGAAAAATTATCAAACCAATCATAAAATATACAATAAAATTGCTAGTTGTTATTTATTTAAGTATACTAAATCTTTTTTTTTTATTTCCTTTTTCAGGTTTATCCTTGGGATGCGGACTGGTAACTTTTGTGTCCGCTCTAACAGAGACATTGGCGGAGATCTATGAGTATCATAAAGATGGCGCCAACGGTCCAGACTACGACTACCGATACGGCTGGTGTTTTTTCACGGCCAGCATAGCCTTAATTTTGTCGTATCTCAGCTCGGCACTGTCATTCGTCGGCTATCTGAACAGATACACTTCGATCGATGAAATGGTGAGTATAATATAAAAGCACTATATTTCATTTGGTTTAGATTTTCATTAAAAAATATATACTTATTAATTGAAAGAAAGAAATTTTGCTGTTGTTAAACAAAACACCAGATACAAAAAATCTATTAAAAAAATATTTCTTACTTTCAAACTTGAAGAAACTTCCTGCATTCACTATTACATTTATCAATATAACTTGTATGTATAAAAATAGTCTTAATATTGGACATGAATAAAGAAAACACAACATAAATAAAACAAAATATTTTATTAATAATAATATTAATACCTAATTTTCAACCTACTGAATTTTATACCTTAAAACTTGGTTAAATTGCTTTTTATTTTTTTCAACCATTATCTTTTGACTATATTTCTCAACAGTACTAGAAGCTATTATTATTTACCTATCATATTATGATGTCTTTATTTTACAGCATCTCCAGGTTTTAGTACCATATACGAGTTATAAAACTTTACTGGTAGCTAAAACGACCCTCTGAGACTACATTTACTTTTCCACCGATTCTTCTTTCACTAAACTTTAAAAAATATAAAACACATGTAATAACAGAAACCAAAATGCAAAAGGAAAAAAAAATGCATGCTGACATATTTATCTTTTTTCATAACGCTAGTTTTTTTACCTAATTTGACAAAAATAATAACCAAATAACAACGTTTAGTTTGACAAGAGTGTGACAGGTTTCAAAAATCTTAAGTCGAGTTTATCCTCTAGATCATATATACTTAAGTGAATACGTAAGTCACTATGGAAACTGTCGCCAACATATGAAAGACTTATATTTATCTTCTTTCTTTGTTGCACATGCTTTGCTTCTATTCTATCTATCTTTGTAGAGGACCTTGTCGAGGAATTTGAATATTAATTTTAAAAAAAATAATTTGTAAAATGCATATATTTGAACGTTAAATTGAATGTTTACTGTCACAAAAATAATTAAATTATATAAAAAATACATTTAGCTACTCCGAACGATTATCAATATTCTTAGGAAATCTAACCAGAAAGTATGCGTGGGGTTTAATATAAATAAATGAACAACTGAATACTTTACTTGCTTATGAAAAGATAATTCGGGGACCTTTATATCAGAACTTCACACACCAAATACTTTTCTAGTCATTTTTACGAGTATTTAAAATTCCAACAAAAAAAAAATAGAAATATAATTGCACAAACTTAAAATTAACTTTTCACTGAACACACTTGCATCCTTGGCTATATAAAAGCCGATCTATAAAGGAGTAATTAATACAATTTTTAAAATAAAAAACGCAAAAAAGCGTCATTACACAATGAAAATACGATTATGATATATGATTGTGACAACATTATGACAATATGATGATAATGAAAATTTAATTTCCATAACATTGTATAATTTGTATTTTCTAACCCGTATAAAACTCTTTGATTATTCTGGAAATACGTGCAACCTTTAATGCGCGTGCGCAAAGTAAGGTCCTCGGAAAGGAAAAGCGTACTGAACGTTTCATAAGTGCAATAAAGAAGGTTTGAAAATGACATATTGTGATGTTGGAGACATCGTTTTTAATGCTAATCGTATGGCGTTTATGCATCCACGTAAGTATGGATGATCTAGGGCATCTGCTTCCGAGCGACGTTTACCGTGCCGTCACTCCAATTATATTAAAATATGATCTGTCATTTTTGAAATAAACCAATAAGACTGGTTAAAAACAACAAGAGACGACGCTGTGACGGATTTATATACAGGGTTGTTCACCACATACGACACGGAGTATTGTAGCTAAACGATTAGATTTTTACAAATTGTAAGTTTTGGGTTCGTTGAAGGACCATTAGAGCTACAATTTAAATATATTTTTACAAGATACAGAGTGTCCCAAATAAATAAAAAATATCAAAATTGCATTTTTTTAAATGGAACACCCTATATATTATTACATTTTTAGTTTCTACGATTAAAATAAAAGTAAATTTTATTAAGGTTTATTACACTTAAACCTTACCGTTTTTGAAATATTTTCAATTTTGTGAAATTGCAGTATAAATTTTAAAGCTTCATTTTTCCGAGGGTATCAAAGTTTTTAATACTAAATATTTAATGAAGTTTATTTATTGATCAGTTATGGTGTTGCAATAATAAAAACTTTACTACCTTATACAGAGTGTCTAAAAATTTATTTTAAATAATTACTAGCTTTAAACGGCAATAACTTATTTAATTTAAATAGAACACCCTGTATATTTTATGAGAATCAGATGCACAATTTAATTGTCTATCAAATTGTATTATACCACTTCTTACCTATTCCTTCAAGTTTTCGTAGAAAATGCATTTTCTTATAATTTAGACCTCATTTATCAATATACCCATGGAATATTGACATTTTAGATTGTTTTTAAAACAACAAATGTACAAAATGTACAGGCTAGTAATATTATCGTTTTTTTTACCATTTGTATGCAAAAAGAAAACTATTTAAATCTTTATAACAGAGTATACATTATATAAAATATACCACTACTACTAATACATTAATTAAATATACCACCAGTATTTCCGCCCAATTACTAATTAACTATATACTTTATTGTGTTCGTTAATAAATTATTCTAAATAAATGTGGATTTGAATCAGAAATCAATATAATAACAAGTTATGAAAATGAACGTCTCTGTTGTTATAAATAAGCATTTTTCGAAAAATTAAATATCATTGTTAAGGTGGTACTTTTTACCACATTGTCTAATACACATATATAATTCAGTTTTTTAGTATTTGTAGCAATTATTACTAATCAACGCAAACAATTAATGTCGTTTGAATACTGGAATCATATTAATTGGTTCTCAACAAATATTTAAACAGTTTTTTTTTTATTTTTTAATGAAATAAACGAACTATATCGACAATATTAGTATCTGTACTCTTTAAAAATTTGGTACATCTTTAAAAATAATCTAAAATGTCAGTATTCCATGGGTATATTGATAAATGAGTTCTAAATTACAAGAAAATGCATGTTTTCTACGGAAACTTGAAGAGATAGGTAAAAAATGGTATAATACAATTTGATAGATAATTAAATTGTGCATCTGATTCTCATAAAATATACAGGGTGTTACATTTAAATTAAACAAGTTATTGCCGTTTAAAGCTAGTAATTATTTAAAATAAATTTTTAGACACTCTGTATAAGGTAGTAAAGTTTTTATTATTGCAACACCATAACTGATCAATAAATAAACTTCATTAAATATTTAGTATTAAAAACTTTGATACCCTCGGAAAAATGAAGCTTTAAAATTTATACTGCAATTTCACAAAATTGAAAATATTTCAAAAACGGTAAGGTTTAAGTGTAATAAACCTTAATAAAATTTACTTTTATTTTAATCGTAGAAACTAAAAATGTAATAATATATAGGGTGTTCCATTTAAAAAAATACAACTTTGATATTTTTTATTTATTTGGGACACTCTGTATCTTGTAAAAATATTTTTAAATTGTAGCTCTAATAGTCCTTCAAGGAACCCAAAACTTACAATTTGTAAAAATCTAGTCGTTTAGCTACAATACTCCGTGTCGTATGTGCTGAACAACCCTTATATAAACCCATCCATAGTTTAATTACATTTTTTTTTATAGTAAAATAAATGGATTGGTATGAATGTCATCTGCCTTTTTTCTGTCATCGTCTATCAAAATCTTTTCTGAGTCGTAAAACAGAGTACACCTGTATTGTCTATATTGAAAGCATCGATACAAACGTCTGATCCAATTGTTTCTATCTAAACCTATCCCTAGTGTTGTTTGGAATATTGTTTAACAGGCCAAACTTCAGAACAAACATTTTATATTAAAAGAGGGGCAGATCGATTAACGAAGGTCTAAAATGGTATAATGACCGTTCGGTTGATTGATTTTAGAAAGTTTTATAGAGGGTATGTTTACATGGATATTGAGGTTTCACCATCCTCTTTGTCTGAAGGATAACCTCTCCTTAAAAAAAAATTGAAAATTCCTAAAACTCTACGGGGTGCGTCTCAAAAGTGGCTAAACCCTATAAATTTTTTATTTTTTCAGGTAAAAAAAACGAGATTTGGTATGTTAGTATATGACATAAATTAGGATTGATTGACGTATTCAATCCATTCAGCCACTTCCTGTTTTACCGGAAATGACTACAACTTTTGATTTTTAAATGACACTCGGTATTTTTTTTTACTTTATTCCATAGAAAATGACACACTCTAAATAGAATGACATATTTATCATATGTCAACTTTTGACATTTTCACTTAAAACAAAATTGTATTCTAAATTTCAATCTAGGGTGCCACGACAGTGCTAAAAACACTAATTTTGGCGCTTTGGAAAGATAGATTTGATCATCTAATGTTTAAAGTGTCTTGTTCTGGCTGGTTAAAAGATGCCCAAATCGTATATTTAATCATGTCTCAATTTTTTCAAATGGAACGAGGGTGGCTCATTAGCATATTTGGAAAAAGCATTTTTTTACGAATAATTTGGTACCACACACTTGGTATTTTGAGTTAAATTGTCGTTATGAATCGCATGTTGCAATTTCAAATGAACTATATTCGAAAACACCAAAAGGTGACATATGATATGTCATTATATTTAAAGTGTTATTTTCTATTGAATAAAGTAACAAAATAATGAGGGTGCCATTTAAAAGTCAAAATTTGTAGTCACCCAAAACAATTGAATACGTCAATTATTTCTAATTTGTCATATACTAACATACCAAATCTCGTTTTTTGTCTGAAAAAAATCTTCTGAGCCTGAAATTAAAAAAGTTATAGAGGTGAGCCACTTTTCAGATGTACCCGGCATAAACCTTCTAAATCTAATTCAAGTATATTTAAAACATTTGTGAATTATATGATAATATAATTTTATTTTAGTCACTTCTCTAGTAAATTTTCATAATTTATTTGGATACTATACATTTTTGTTAAA